CCCTATCGAGTGAGCTGCAATCGCACAAGCAGCGACCAATGTGCCAGGGCACTGGTTTTCATCAGCACTTGACCACTCACATTCCTAAATGCTTTCAGTAAATTGCCTGCTAGTCAAACACCTTCTTGTACCTCTCTTTGTTGAGTGGAATGCCCTCGAGATTAAACTCTTAGTAAAAAATGTCCATCATACCCACAAGTTTAACAATAACTGATAAATTCCATGCATGAAGAGTATGTACATCTCTCAGCATATACCAGCAAACTCGAGCCCACCTGCCGTAATGAAATTGCATTTTCTTCTTTCCTGAAGCTTGTCTTTACACTACCATGCAGATCTTTCATCACTCCCTTACATAACATTCACCAATATAGCTGTTATCACACAAAAGACACTCTACCTCATATCCTATTATATCGAACAACATTCACGAGATATAACTGAAATTTGTGAACATATATTGAAATTCACACATTTTACACGTCTCATATTTACAATGTAATGCAGTATATGAAAGAAAAAAATAAGGGAAGTATGATGTAACAATGCAATTAAGCACTCTTTTTAATCAAGACTGCTAAAACCATGTGGGCATATTTTCATGTTTGGGAACCACTGGCACAGTACACTTCAGAAACATGACAAGAATCTCTACTACAGTTTACTATCACGTACACACACAAATGAAGCCTGTTCAAAAAGAGAACACAGTTCAGAAACAGAATGTGTCCTCTGGAAAACCTCATGAACTGGAGCTATGTCTGATGAAGTGCTGAGCTCTTGTGACCGACAACGGCGCACAGCTGACTGAGTGCGACTGTATGCGAGAATCTCTGCACGAACAGAAGATGAGGAAGTGGAAGGCATGTCCTGTGAATGCCAGAACAAACCAAAACTGATGGATTAAATTCTGTGAACAACCTCAGAAGAGTTTATCTATATAAAACTTTCAAAAACAAAACCTTAATATATATGTACCTACTTCACAATCCCAAACCATCCTTTGAACATAAGCAAATAACAGAATGTATGAGATAAAGAACGCCACTTTACAGTGTCACCATGCAAACTGACCACAACAGTAGAAAAAAAAAACAGTACACCTCATAAAATGGTACTGGAACAGAACAACAAGAAATTTTCAATAAGCCTTCTTACTGTTCTGTGAAAATGATATTAAGAAAATGTGTAGCGAATTTTTGGAAAGGCAAATAATTCAGAAAGGATAAAACTTCCTATGTCTTGATATGAATAAGTCAATATATATATACATACTAACAATGTATGAATGATAAACAAAATATATGTTATTACCACCATGATGAACACTGGCAAGTATTGTTACTTGACCACCCCGTGTTAGATGTTACTTTTAACACATGTATGAATTACGAGAGATTAGATTAGCTACGAGTGTGATTGTACTAAGGTTTCTTATAAATAACTACTAATATTCAACACCCTCAGTTTACTATTCTAGACAACAGGAATGAAGCAAGCTCGGGGAGTTTGTTCTCATATGGCACCCACACATGGGGTACATACACAGACAGAGACACACACACACACAGGTTCATTATTTTCACTTCCAAGAATCCAAAAACAATGATCACCAAGCGCCCATTGCTGCAACCTGTCTTGTCCATCACCAAATCCTTCTTCCAATTCAAACAACTGACTTCACCATCCTGTTAAGGATAAGGACACAATGGTTGATAGCATAATTTACAAACTGCTGACAAGTTAAAGGACACACATGAACTGCCCAGCTTATAACGCCATGCTGTATAGTAAAAGTAAAGTTGTTCCTGTGCTTAATTGGCTTCATATGTGAAGGAGTGGAGGTTCAGTTCTATGCCACTGTAACTTTGGATGTCCAGCCCATAGTCTAGTCACTATACTGACTATGTACTGGAAAAAAATCTTCTGACTTTTGGAGAAACCAATAACCTCACTTTCAGGGTAGAAGTGATGTGAATTACACAACTGCAAGCCTTGAATCTTTCACAGCGAATAAATGTAATAAAATCCTCTCACATGAAGAGCCACATTTATTTGAAGCAGAAGCATGCTGACAAAACATAAATTACTGGGAAGAAGGGTTAAATGGTGCAAGAAGTCATACATAAACTGTGACTGGTAAAGTACGTAGAATACGATAAAATGTGCTCCAGATAGGATGAAGTACATAGAAGCAGTAGTATTTGAGGTTATCATGGAACTGAGTACGAGAATGGCCGTCTTCTGGGTTCGAAGTTTACCAACGTTTCAAAGGTGTTTAGTGCCTAAATCATCAGGGTGATGATCATTATGATTATGGAAGCAGTAAGCACATATGACACACTGGTAAATTTTTACGAGACTACGTGATGCTACTACCAGAAGACACCCATCTTCATAAGAGAGACAACATTTCAATTTGGAACACTGGCAACAGATGCAAATTAGTGCCCAGTCCAATTTTAGAATTTCAGGTGGTCAGAAGCAATAAAAAGCACAAATCCAGCATCAATGTGATCTGAACAGCAACTTACCTCAACTTGTCAGTACTGAGGCAAATTCTTGGCATGGCTGTAAGGCCAGCTTCATGTGGACTTCAGTTCATCATCAGAAAGTCTGCAAACACAGAAATAAGGGTCGGTGCTTGTGTGCAAAACTAATTTACTCACATAGATTAATGAGTGTGATTAACTGGATTAACCCTTGATCACAACATATAGCAATAAAATTAAATATTCCTTGTACCTTCTAGGATAGTATCAGTACTTAACATTCAAAAAATAAAAAAAGGGCCTGCTAACAGTCAGCTGTGACATAAACAGAAATGTGTTTGTCAACATTCCAAACAGGGCCATGGTAAGAATATTTAGTATTGGACTACACATGGGGGTAGAGGAATAAACACAGTCTCCACAGTTCCAGAAGGGCATGAAAAAGGGCCAAAATCGTTTATTGACAACTGATAATCATGAAAACATTTATCATAAGAGGAATGCAGACTAATATACGCGATGTTTATCCATATTTATTTACTGTTCATTTGTCGTCGCTATCAACACCTCAGACTACATTGATTAACAACGAATAGGAAAGGAATGAAAGGCACAGAACAAGCACAAGAATGTTAAAGATTACATCCCAATTAAGTAATATTTCATAAAGGGCAAAATATACTTGAGAATCAAAACACAAACATACACTAGCCACAGAACACCAGCGAATGCACGCATACAATGAAACACGATACACCACGACAAAAACATCGATAAAAAATTCAGAAAATTTCCCACACTAATCGTTCAAACCAAATATTGCAACGTTGACGACAAGTATAATCTTCAATGACAGTAAACTATTGCGTTACCTGCATCAGCTTTAAGCATGGAATCGCCTGCAATATAGGCAACTTATCGAGCATACGAATGTGGCAGTGTAGACTAAAACAAAAACACATTTGCGGTCTTCTAGTGCAGTGATATTCAACCTTTTTTGTTCGCGTACCCCCAGATATAATTTCTCTTCAACTTTGTACCCCCAAAGTTGTTGGTGTTTAATTCAAGTGTATATAATCTACATCTAAACTAAATTAAATAAATTACATTACTGATTATTCAGTGTTTATCATAAAATAATATTTTTTTTTTTAAATTTCGCGTACCCCCGGGCGTTCTTCACACTCAACTCGAAGAAAGAATTTTGACTTTCATTTTCTGATATTACAGCGTGTAAACTGTAAGAATTCTTAATACAACCAACAAGAAAAAGCCCTCTATTGTACAACAGCTTTTTCACGTCCATTCGCCTCAGGATAATATTACGTCTTCGATTAAGATGACTGTCTTCAACAATGTGCGCCACAATGTTTCCTAGAAACTGATAGACGTTTCAGACGTGATTACTACTTCCATCAACAGGGCGATAGACAATTACCTTACTGAATTTGTCGACATATTGTACAGAAAAATGGAACACGCAGTTAAAGCCTAATTTAGATTTTCTGCTTTACAGCTGATGTGGTGTTGACAAAATTTTTATTGAAGGTCTTCGCTCGTCCGCGCCGCCTGTTTTACGATGTTTATGAAACAGCATCAAGAGTAAACATTCACGAATTGAAAATATTCCGTCAATAATCCTAACAGAGCGACCGCGCCACAACTGTTTTGCTACGCGTTCGTTTTCTAACGTGTTAGTTTGCCCTTAGCGACTATGTACTTAGCGTTGAACATTTACTTCTTCCGTTTCACTACTAAAGTCAGTTTCAAATACTTTCCCTTATGAACAGACATGTAAATATTGTAGATAACTGAAATATCGCGTTGTTTTATATTCATTTATGCGTAATTTCTAATTGCAAATGTTCGGAGTTGGAAATGGCGTTGTGGCATCGTTACAGGCGTTGTTCTGTTCTCAAATCCGAGCTACGCCAATGGAAATGTTTGCAAGTACATCTCGACCTGGCAACATTCAGAAATTCCTCTGGCATGAGAAAATAAATACACGCCTGGCGGATACCTTTCGTGGTTCGTCTTCAGTTTCAAATCTTGAGACTGATGCGACGAAAGACAGAGCAGCTTCTGCCCTGTTCAATTAGGGTAAAGTCGGGTGTGACGCCCCATCGGTAGAGCTGCCCCGGTTTCCATATACGAGCCCATGCGCGGGAAAAGCCACTGTATGTTGCTGTTGTAAGAAGAAGTAGTGAGATTTTTCTTTTGCGTATTTCAAGCAGAATACACACTTATATTTGTTATCTGCCATTGCCGAGGTGAACATTTTTCCGTTCGTGGAGTCATAGTTAGTGAAAGGGAAGGAAAGTGAAATAATTACTGTTGTTATGTTTTTCTTGCGGAGACAAGGGAATAAGTTCATGTTGCTTTCTCACAGTTTGCCATTTTCTTGGTGAGTCACGTGATATCAACTGGGGCTTCTCACCCGATACTTTGGGTTTGTTTGTTTGTTTGCTCCAGCTAACTCAGGGTCGATCACGGGGATCGAACGTAGAAGAAGGTTACAACTGCATCAAAACCTAAGTACATTTATTGCGTAGTTTCTTTTACAAAGTACGCTTATAATGATAAACCTGGTCTCCTTCCTTCAAGAGACACACACTAATAATAATCACTCCTCCCAGTTTCTATTACGCCCAAACGTAATCCGGTCCACATCTCTATGCCCCTTTTATCTAATATACATTTTAAAATTATCCTACCATCTACGATGTCTTCCAAGTATCTCCTCCTATAAGATTATCTCACAAAATTCTGTATGTATTTCTCGTTTCCCACATGATGTTCCACATTCCGCTCATTTCGTCGTCCTCAATTTAAACGGGCAGTAGCATCGCACATTGGAACTCTACTGTCGTTGACCTGGCCGCCACCTGCCAGACGACTTGGTTAAAGCACCCGAAGAGTCTGCATAGTCCCAACGAGCTTCAGGATTTACCTGACCCGTGTCTCAAATGGTGATCAATTTAAATGTAAACCCGCGTGTGCGTATTCTATTCAACACAACATAATGGGGAACGTCTTTTCCAGCATAGGGATGGGAGGACGAACAGACTGGGGTTACTATGGCAACAAAAGAAAACAGAATGAAAACATGCCAAGTTCTGTTGCCTGGGTGACTGAACGCTGGCAAATGCTTAAGGGCGCTCGATCCATATTCCCATGTTTACACAGATGCAGAAATGACTACACAGAAGAATACTTTGAATTTGATTAAATTTAGATGTATTTTGAAATAAGTAAGGGCATCACAGCCAAGCCACCTTAACTGTACGGTACTGGCCCGTGAATAAATTATTCAATTTTGAACCAGATTCGCCAGCCCTTAAAAAAACATGATACTATAAAACCTAATCAGGGCTGCTGGCCTACTGAAACGTCTAAGCAGCTATCAAAAATAAAATAAAATAAAATAAAATAAAATACATTAAACAACTTTCCCAAGTCATCTCACAATTTTCAGATCACAATACTATTTTCCAACTGTCTGTAAACAAGACGTTCAAAAAAATCCTCTCAGTAATGGATCCAAACTTTGCGAGACACCTTTACGTTCAATGATTAGGTACATTTTCTACTGCGCATTTAAAACCTAAAGAAACAAAATAATTTAGCCTATGACGCTATCCTGCTCAGTCAAGTACGGAACAGCCTTAAAAAAGTAATGTGAGGCACAGGTTAACTGAAGCGACATTTCAATTTCGCTTTTGCGGAGAAGATACATTAGTGTCGACGTTACATGGCAGTAAGATTTAAAGTAAAAGTAAGGGATGGAGTCTGTTTCAGGAGCATAACCATTAGGATTACACATGATGTACGCTGTTTGTTATAGCCAGGGGCGTGTGAGAAGCGGGGGGGGGGGGCACACACCAATTACTAACAGAGATTACAAGGACTGAGTTGCACTCACAGCTGAAAACACGTTGTACATGAAAATGCAAGCAATCAGCCTGAGTAACCGAACGCTTTGTGTACATTTACATGGGGATTCCATGGACGACTGTGATCGATTATTACAGTGTGCATAACAATATTTACGTCATTAATTAAAGAGACACTAATGTGGCATTGTAGCTTTACACATTACAAGCTGTCCCCGTCAGTCACACGGCTGGATACCTGGACCTTCGGCGAGAGCGACTAATGCGACTGAAACTGGCTCTTAACAGTACATTCCGACAGTCCTTTATTCACGCTGCTGTTCCTCCTCCATGGAAAGTAATGATTAAACAAACACTATGACAGCAGACCCCAACGGTTCAACACGCTATTGGACGATCCTGAGACAGTTCCATTCACGTAACTACATACTTACCTTAATCTATCTTTGATGTCGTCCTCCTACATCCATTTCGGGCTTCCAAATGACCGTTGCCCCGCCAAAATTCTGCCCTTATCCATCATTTATACATACCCAGACCGTATTATTAGCCTTTTATATTTCACTATCCAAACAGTGATCTGTTAGTGTCACGAGTTATTCGTTATCATAAAACGCAAACAGTGCTAATTTTATCACACGTATCTCCCTATTCGTGTTTATACACGTCTTCAAGCTATCTTTCAGCTTAGAGATATACGACCACTACCAACATTACGCACACAATTCTTAAGCCCCCGTTTCCTATGAATGGTGTACCTAGTGTATGGATGGATTCGATGGACAGAATCAGTCATAATCATGTTGACGCTTGCAATGAATGACTGAACTGTTCACAGGAAGAACAGCCTTTGTATTAATACGATAAAAATGTTTAAAGTCGACATTCAAATAATAAACAGGTTCTAGTGAGATTTCAGGTTTTCAGGCCGGCGACTGCACCGACCGTGCAGTCTGACAGAATTTTTGCCCACATTGCGCTGATGACGGAGGCAGCGAGCACCCGTCTCGTCGATTACACCGCCAACTAGCAAGTCTCTTTCCTGCAGATCTCCAGGATCATGGTCTAACAATCGCATCTGTCTTACGAAGTCTGTGACCCCTCGGTAGGTTCCCAGCTGGACGGATTATGGCGAAGAGTAGGATGACTGGCGCTGATCAAAGACCGCACACAGACATCACCACCCAAGACGCAATCCCAAACTGTACAGAGGGAAGCATGAACGGTTTAA